CAAGTGGAGTTTTCAGAGTACGTTACCATAGCAGATCCACATTCTAGGAGTCCCGAGCCATTCCTGAATCTTTCTAAAGCATTTTAATAATGGTGGACGAACAGTTCATAGCACTGTCTAAATTTTCATTAAATTTGACCTCATTTCCTGTTTGGGAAGTATCTTCAAATAGATCACATAGCTCTCAAAATTTGTTTGTTGTTCAAAATTGCTTAAGAATTTCTTGGCCAATTTCCCACTTCATAATCCACCTTCAAAAGTCACCTGAGCTGGTGAGTTACTTCAGACATGTGGTCTCATTTCGGTTCCATGAATGGACGCTTACATAACACAGGGCAGTATGAATTTCAAATATTAATCACGTACACAATTCAAACTTTGCCTTTGCTAAATAACAGTTTAAAATTCACCCTCCAAGTATTCCTATTAGAAAAGCTCAGCCGCTCAAACTTTCATGGAAGGCAAACATAACAGGCTTGGGGAGTATATAATCATATTTGGTTTTGGAATTTGAATATTTATTTATTACTATTCGCTCAGGTCTACAGTTTAACATTTACGGGGGCGCACACTGTCTGCAGATCCAGTCTCCCTGTCAGAGGTATAAAGGACTCTATTCTTAGAGCTGTCCCCTGCTCGCCTCACCCAAACTAGCTATAAAAACTTCAGATGAGAGGATGAAGGCGGGTCAACTTGAATCTGTAGAGGCAACATGTGGAGAACTCCAGTTATTGCCAGGTTAGCTTCTTTTCTCCCTCACAATGCTGCCTCTGCTGCTCCTCCCCATAGATGAGCAAGCAATAGCAATTCCCAACAACAGGGCTGAGGAGTGAGTGGTTAAAGATGGAGGATCAAGCACAAGGTCTAAGCACACTTAAATCCCACTTATGGTCTATTTTGAGAGTTTAAGGGGTGCACAAGACTGGCGATGGCCCACTGCATGGCAGTGAATTTCACCCTGAATGACAACTGCTCTACAAATGATCATCCAGTTTAGATCCAGAGCTGGCAAATGATGTGACTTGAACTTCAAGTGGCAGCCTTACAAATCTTGGTGATAGATACATTATGGAGACAAGCTGTGTAGATGGCCACTCAACTGACAGAATGAGTTCCAAGTTCCTCCAGTCTAGAGCTCATTTGGTTGTACTCGGCTTGGCTACTGAGTTTCATCCATCTGGATAATTTTTGGATATATCTCACTTCCCTCAAAGGCTATAAACAAACAGGATGACTCTCAAAAGTAGTAACTCCATTTTTGACATCTAATATATGCAGTCTAGCCACTCCCCCAAGCCCCCATGAGTGTGTTATGAGGCTGCAGGGGACGAGACCAGAAGAGAGAGATGGTTTGTTTCAGATGAACGTCTGAAGTCAATTTGGGCAGAAGTTTTAGGTGAGCAATACAGCACTGCTTCGTAAAGAAGGTTCAGTGTCAGAGTTTGGATTTCACTCACCCCTTTGGCAGAGGAGATAGCTACCAGGGAGCTAACAGTGGCTCAAGGGATGTAGTCATAGGCCTGGCACCTTGAACTGATGGATAACAGTGTATGGCTGAATGAAGACAAGGTCCTTTAAACAGAATAGTGAAATGCTGAATTCAGGTTAACTGTACCTTAACTGTGGAAAGGGATCAAACCAAGATATCTCTAGTAACTGATTGAGGATTAGAGGCACCAAGCAGTGTGAGGGGTAACACATTACTACTACTACACACCTAAGAAAAGAAATGTATCCATTTACAAACACATGATTTTCTGGTGGCAGGAACATGCGACTGCGACAAGCCTGCTGCTTCACCCCTTCTGAATACACCACCCTACCAGACGTTAAGAGCTCAAGACCCAGGCCTCCAAGCATCGTGACTGAACTGGAGGAGAGTTTGACCTTTGAGAGTAGTAGGACTAGCCAAGGCTTGAGACATCACAGGCAGGTCACAGCATGGCACCTAGCCCTGTCCTATTTCAATCCCTCCAATGGGAATGGGGAACAGGGTGACTCCAGTTGGAACCCTTTCCTAGCAAATCCAGGACCCCTGACTGGTCTGACATGTGCAAGGCACCTGAAGCTTTGCTTTGAGAAGTGTACTATCAGGTGACCCTGCCTTCTCTAGACCAAAGACTGGAGGTTCGGAAGAAAAACAAGACCTTGTTGTGTGAAACATACAGTCAGGTTTCCTGGCTGGCGAGGACTAAGCTGAGCATTGCCAGCCAGATCTCCCTGGCTGGATCTATCAATCCTTTGTTTATAAGCAGGGTGCCTTCTCCTTCATCTTTAGCAAGCCAGCAAGTTTGTGCACCTTCTCCAGGACTCCAGCAACTGGAAAGTCCAAGGGCTAAGCTCAGCTTAGCATCATTTCCTGTAATGCCTTATTGTTGTCATCACAGCGAGGAGACCAACTTAAACTAAATTTCATCTACTCTTCCTCCTCCTCCAATGCAGAGAGGTCACCTCTCAAATGAGCCTGCCACTGCCAAGAGATGGTCTCATGCCCCAAGAGCCATAACGCCCAATTGGTCATACAATCCAAGACTTGGCATCCCCACTTTCACTGAGATGTTAGAGGTCTGACCTGGCAAATATAGTAGGTAAGCCATCATCAGGGGAAATAGGAGCAAAAGCTAACCACATACTGGACTGGGTTGTAGATTTGTAAGGCTGCACATGAAGGGGAGACCTCTGTATCAGAAGTATTAAAGTGGCCCAGGCTGGCTCTGAAAGCTCTTTAGAGAAATCTCACATTACAGCAGCCCCTGAAAGTTTGTTTTTGTGGAGTCTCCCCCATCAATGAGCATGGGAGGTTTGGAACTAGGAGACCAGCTCTGTAGGTTCATAGCACTTCTTTCAGGCCTCTTTCTCAGAGTGTCTCCAAGTCTCTGAATCGAGTAGTACAGGGGCTCAGAATAGGCCACCAGACCCAAATATTTCCTCCTCTTTTTAGTGATGAAAAAAACTCCTGGATCCAACTACTGGCTCTTGAGATACAGACGAGTGAGCAGACCAAGACTCCTCCAGCATGCTTCTAGGTCTGGGAATAAAGGATGCACATCCAAGCACCACTGACTTCTCCCAGGCATTTCAAGTACCCAACATGCTGGTCTACAAGGGACATTTTCCGACCCAAAGAGATGTGTTCCAAACCCAAACCCTTTCCCAGTCGCATCATAAGTAGAGTGCAGAATTAGTCTTACAAAAAATTAATTCAGTACTATTATTTATTGTAAACACTAGCCTAAGAATTAACAACTACATTAACATTTAAACTAAACCCAGCTGTGTCACTGAGCGAAGGAACACAGACCCACGACCACTTGTACCAGTGGGAAGAGGGGAACTGAGGACGGTTATAGGGGAAAGGGTTTTCACCCCTGAGCTGATGCAATGGCTGCATGAGAGCACACAGGCCCTCCTAACAATTAAACTGCTTTAGAATCACTCTAGGCCCGCAAGGTCTGGCTTTCAGCTCCTGCAGGCACATTTCCCGGGGCTATGTGCGCACCACAGCTGGGAGGTGCAATTCCCAGCACAAGCAGACGGATTGGCGCTAGCATGCTAAAAATTGCAGCGTGGACATTACTGCACGGGTGGGGACGCGGGCTGGCCACCGGAGTGCCGACTCAGGGGATCAAGAGGCCTTGGATTTTTGAAAGCTAGTCTGAGCCACTGCCCATGCTGCAACATCCACACTGCGATTTTTAGTATGTGTCCGTCTCCATGCGCTGGGAATCTCACCTCCCAGCTGCAGTGTAGATGGACCCTTTGCACAATGACCAGGGAGCGTGCGTAAAAACTGCTGCTACAGCCAGCCTGATCCTTCTCCACGTCCTGACATGCCTGCACAGACTTAATGTGTAGCGGGACCAAGGATCAATTCTCAAGCTCCAGTGGGCTGCCCTGCTACATTTTTGGGGTTTGGTGCACAGGTCTTCTATTTGAACACCACCACCAGAATGACACGAATCCCAGCTGGAAGGGAGATGCCACCTGGATTTCACGAGTGAGTGCACATGCGCCCTTTGTTGTTGGCGTAATTAGGAGATTCCTGCATTATACCATAGATAGTATGTACTGGTGCCCACCATTAAAGCATTTAGCAAAGGGAAAAGGGATGGAGGAGATTCCATTATGGCTGCTTTTCATTAACCATCCCTAAATTACGCTCCAAATGGAGAATTGGTGTATGGACTGTAACACAGCCAGGCTCAGTAAAATTTGGATTGAATTACTGCCCAGACACTACCTTTTAAAGAGGAAAACATCACTCAGGGTGAGCGAGTGGTCTAAGCTATGACAGACACATGGGCACAGAAAGGCCACCCGCTTGAAGAGGCGTATCAGTTGCGGATGAACACTAATGATAGCACAAACCAGCAGCTTGGCAATTTTAACAAACTAAATGTACCTTTCAAAACACTCATTTGACTGAAACATTTGGATCTGTGTTTTCAGTAAGGGCACAGCACAGAATGCTCAGCAGGCAGCCAAACTAATGGTCACCGAGTCTCAGATAAACACAGCCAGTTCAGAGACAGAGATGGAAACACCTAATAGCTTGCATGTTTGAGATCCTTTCTGGTTGAGCCAGGGATACCCAGCACCCTAATGGCTACTCCCCCCTGCAAATATCATTACTTATCCAGTGGTGGAGCCAGGTCCTCAGGTCTGAGGGAACCACTGCGGCAGTTATAGTCCCTGATAACTAGGGTTTCCAAAGGGAAAACTGACAGATGCCAACTAGAACATCCCAAACATAAGCCTGCAATAAAACATGAGTGTATTTTGGTAGCAGACTGGATTCCCCTCTTGTTCCATATGCAGGCTCCTCTCCCAACCAGTCTAATGTTTCTCCCTGCTGGTCACTGGCCAGGGCAAAGCTAATGGATTTTGGAATGCTAAACAGAACAAGACCCCTCTCTTCTCTGACTCACCCCTAAAGGGTTAAAATGCATCCAGATCTATGAAGAAATAAGGGGGAAGGGATGAGGGTAGGGAGAACTTACCGGAAAAGTTCCGTGAGACCAGCATTGTTGTGAGGATTGCACCCTGTGGGGGAGAAGGAGAGAGCAGGGATAAATAGCGCTGCCTATCTCAGACAAGGGATGCAGAAACCCAAGTGGTTCAGGGTTAGACAGGCTACTGGGGTCCTCTCCACCTCCCAGCAGCTGCTATTCAACAGTTACTGGTGCTGGGAGCCAGGAGCCCGATCAGCATGGTAGACAACAGCTCTTAAGCATGGAGTGCTCATTTGGGTATTTCAGCTCTCTTTAAGTGGGGGCCAGGTGAGCATGGAGAGAACAGACCCTATGGGAAACTAATTTTTGTACCTACAGAAATCTCCCAACCTGCAAAGAAACTTCTAGAGCACCTTATATTAGAGGATTTCAAAAAGCACTTGACAAACAGTGAGCTAATCTTCAAGCACACCTTTGGCAACGCAGGTATTTGCTCCACAGCACAGAGGGAGAAACTGAGGCACACATAGGGGAAGTGATGTGGGGCACACTTCAAGTCAGAGGCAGAGCTTGGAAGAAATCCCAGCTCTCCCAGCCTTGTGCTTCAGCCAAAAGACCACCACCCTCCCCAATCCCAGCTCCCAAAAAAGGCAAACACCTACTCACCTTCAGCTTTCTTCTGGCATTGAACTTCCTCAAGCACTCCACAGTCTCTTGTCTGTGCATCATGGAGGCCACGGTGGATCGTTGCTGGAAGACAGGAACAAGGAAGGATTGTTAAATAATTGTAAACAGATCATCAAGTTGAGTTCTCCCTCCAGCTCTCTGTTCACACGCTACAGCCAATACGACCGAGCAGCTCAGCTCTGGGTGCCCTACTCCTAATGGACCCTGGCTCCAAACCGCAGAGACCTGGCGGCAGAAACCAACTGCAAGGTGACATTAACCACCCCCTGGGGCGAGAATTTCTAAACAAGGTGGGTTGTTATCACAGACCCATGCCTGAAAAAGTTGAGTCATGAAAGAGCAATGTTCTCCATCATTCAGACACCAAAGAACAAAAACAGATTTGAGGCAAAAGTGCACAACCAGCAATTGCGCTGGTGGGAGGAGGGGAGGGGAAGGGAAGAGGCGGATCTTGTTACTAAATCTCAAAAGGAAAATTTGAGCCGGCAAGTGAAGACCATTGTCTGCCTATCCTGATGACTCTTGGACAAGGCTGCTCTTCGAACCTGTGAGCATGACGCCTGCCCTCAGCACCCTGGCATCAGATGCAGAATATGATGTTCAGCATACTGCTGGGGAGTCATATGGCTCAGTCAGATAGTTCTACCACATCAGCCGACAGCCTGAGTGCAGCGTCCAGCCAGTGGGGCGCACTTGTCACCAGCACTCAGCTGGGGTCACATCAGCTGCAAGAGGAGCACTTCCCAGAAGTGCTGCCAGAGAGTCAGGGAACATTTGGAAACTGGAGGCTAATGCCAGACTGGCTCTTGTTCTAACACAGACCTACCAGTCTGCATTCGCTTTACAAGGACAGTGGGCGAAGGACTATCACGCTGACCCGTAGGCATTACAGATCTGCCATGAGCAGCTCTCTCTTGGTTCAGACAAATTCATTAAGACCTGGGAGAACAGCATGCACTGTGCTCAGATTCTGCAAAGTTACGTAGGAAACCTCTACTGTGACCTCAAACCTAGCCACCCCTGCTCTCAAAGCTGGCTACAATCTGCACAGGCTGTTGTGGGGGGTGGGAAGGCTGGACCATCCTCTTTGAAAGAGCTTCTTGCTGTTAAAGTTCACACCGTCTCCTGTGAAGCCAGAGAAGCCTGAAGTCATTCCAGGTCTCTTGCTAGTTTGGCCTTAAATGGGCCAGAAAATACACTATGGGCTCTGTAGACAGCTTCACTGACCACAAAGCACAGCTGTCACTGGCACTAGGAGAACAGGAGTGCCCTGCACTGCCATTGGAAACGCACAGCCAAGACCAGTCGCTGCCTACTGGTGAGCACAGCAAGTGTCTAGAAAGGGAATCCGTGTAGGGTACATACACGGAGCATGTCGGGCACGCGGCGACAACAACTTTAACATAGGGGAAAGTGGGTGGGGACTGAAGTGATTTATGGAATGAAACCATTACACTTTGTAGAATGGCCAGCCAAGCCAACACGGGCGAAGAGGGAAACTGTCTCGGGACATTTCACATTAATCCTGCGATGTGGGCAGTTATTGCTTCTCAGACAGTGCCAGTCACAGGCACTGGGGCTGCAAGGCTCACAAAATGAAACACAGTTATTAGAGTACAGACACACAAACAGGGAAGGGCCAGAGCCTGAGCTGATGTGAATGAGCATATCATAGAATCATAGAATCTCAGGGTTGGAAGGGACCTCAGGAGGTCATCTAGTCCAACCCCCTGCTCAAAGCAGGACCAATCCCCAATTATATCTCTGATGATGTCTCTGGAACTATGCCAATTTATAATGTATACAGTGTGTACACCACATATCAATTGGAATCGCCAATGAGATCTCTCTTGGGGAATGGGGGAAATCGCCACCTGTCAAGAACAAATTGTGAAGGTGGGTATGCACAATGAACATACTGGAAAGCGGAGGCATGCCTGTCTCTAGTGCACACTCCTTCCTTATGTGATTGAGAGAAACTCTCCCAATTATACTTCAGGATCCTCTTACCAGCTCTGCAGAAAATGGGAGAACAATCATGCTCCTGGTCTGGAAAGAAGACAACTCTCAAGGGAGAGAACTAGTCAAAGCTGCTTCATGGCCACTAGCATTACACGTATGGCTAGGGGCGATATGGCACGTTTGCAGGAGCTACAGAAGCACTTCCACGTGTGCCTGTGAAAAATGAAGAGGCACTACGACAACTGGGGCTGGGATGCAACATCCAGGATGCCCAGGTGCCAGGCTCTTCAAGCGGACATCTCCCTGGATACGGCACATGACGATGATCTGCATTGGCAATCAATGACTATTGGATAAAATAGCCTTGAAATTAAAAGCCATTTGTTCTGCATCTCTTCACTATAGCAGTGGTTAGATAAGGATATAAACCAGGTGGGCTTTTCCCATGCCAGCACCTACAAGCTCACAGTTCAAAGCATACAAACATGCTTGATTAGACAGCACCTGATTTCTTCCCCTAGCTCTGTCCTCCTGCTCTAGTAGCCTGTCCTCCCAGCACATGGCTTCAGCAAGCACCATGGCATGACCTCCTAACAGGTGAGGAAGGAGACACTTACACAGACCCATGGGTGTTTGAGTGCTTGATCAGCCGTGATGCGTTTAGCCGGGTTTATCGTCAGCATCTGATTGATCAAGTTCTTTGCTTCAGGAGTCACTGTGTCCCACTCAGGTGACGGGAACTAGGAGGGAGAGAGGAGAAGAGATGAGATGCTGAACACAACCCTCCTTGCCCGCTGGAGGAAATCCATTCCACCACACCGAGCCCTGCTTAGGCTTTAACCCCTTTGGCACCACCACAGCTAGTTTGCACCCAGGGGACACAAACCTTTTGGTGACACCCACAGTGTGAAAATACTAAGGGACTTGACAAATAGCTGAAGACCATACATGCACCATTTTGATGGCTGTACAATGGATGTCCACGGGGCAGCCAAACAGTTCAAGGAGCCTTTCAGGATTCAGTCAGGCCTTGGGCTTTTACTCAAATCTGTAAGTCCATTCAAAGATCTGTAGCTTCCCTTCTTGAGCATTTGGTGCAGACATGAGAAAACAGATGCCTGGTCTTCTTTAACCCACCCTCCTCCTCCTCCCACTCCCTGTCCCCACACACTAAAAAGCTGTAATCCTGTTTGTAATATCAGAAATTGTTGCCTGGGGAATGGGAGACATGTCAGAGGCTGGCAACATGTGGGTATGGAGATGAAGGGCAGAGATCTGAAGTCCTTGAACTAACACCACTCCATGTGCAGTTCAGCACATCAGTACAGATGAGGACAGTGCCCCAGGTCTTCTGGGGTGTTACAAATGAAAACACAGTGAAACTACAGGCACATCTGTACAGCAGCTGGGAGGTGTAACCCCCAGATCATGTACCTCTGCTCACACTAGCACCTAAAAATAGCAGTGTGGCCATGGGGTATGGGCAGCAGCTCAGGCCAGCTGGCTGTGTATGCATTCAAGGGTCAGGTGGGACTGTACTCAGGCAAGTTGCCACCCGGGTAGCTGCAGGTATAGTGCTAATTGAAAAGTGCTAGCTGGAGCGGAGCGAGAGCATGCATGTCCGCCTGAGCTGGGGTCCCGGACACACCCTAAGTGGATGACAGCTCGGCCACCTGAGCGGAACATACAGCCTCTGAACACAGAGACGATCCAGAGGGCAGTTAAAGGGTCATGGTCACTTTAAGTCACCTGTGTTTAAAATAAGATGTCCTTCCCTGTGCTGTGAATATTTCCTCCAAGTATTAGAGCTGAAAAAAGCGTAAAGAGCTCCTTGACTTTTCCCATTCACACCATTAGCTTACGCTTTGTGCTCCTCTCAACACAGACCACAAAAATGCACTAGTCAGGGTCACACTTGCTGAGTGTCAGTTTCACATCCCTGGTCTCAGGCACAGTGCTGCCATGTCTGCGCTGCAAACATTGCAGAGGAGTGCTTAAAAACCTTCAGAAAACCCTGAGCTTTCATCTGGAGGTTATTTCCAAACCAAAAAAGATTCCTGGTCACATTCAAAAAACCCAAGTGCTGAGTCTAAACGCACCCCAGGGGCTTCCTCTGAAGTACAAACGTCCTATTTTCTGGAGACTGAAATTCACAATGGCCACTTCCCGTTCAGTCAAGAGATAAAATGGAGTACTTCAACACACACACACCCTGCCCCGGGCGGGGTGGACTACAGGAGATATTCTCTATTCCTATTAAAGTGGAAGTTGCTCCCTGCCATACACGGCACAGAAGGGGGCTGCAGGAACTAGTTCATGACAGTTAGACGCTTTTGAAAATCTGAAGGGGGCTGAAAGTCAACGGGAGTTAGGGGGGTTGGGCACCTAACTCCCAGTCACCTGCCAGAGGAGTTGGGTGTCTAACCTCTTAGGTGCTTTGAGAATCCCACTCTGCATTCCTGCGGCAACACATTCTAAATGTAACATTTAGCATAAGAACCAGGAACACAGAAGAGAAGGAGCCTATGAACAAAAGGAGCAATAAGACAGAGTAGCACCTGGCAGCAGGGGAGGTTACTGGATTCCAGCAGAAACATCCTACTCCCACCATTCCATCTCCGGCTGCTCTGAGTTAAGTACGGGCACTGTGACTGCCCACAGAGCAAACCCCGCAGCTTCCCTGCAATGCGTATGCCAGCCACTCTTGGATCAATAGCTCCAGGTTTATTTCCCGCTCCAACAGCTCCAACAGGCTCCCCTCACTCAGGAAGATTTATTCCAAGTTTTCAAACTTCTGTAGTCAGAGAACAGTCACTAATGCTTAACCTCTCTGGCTCTAACCTCCCCACCAAGTCGCTACTCAGTCTGGTCAGACATCACGCTGCACCCTATGACCACCTGTCTAGCCACAGTCCCAAGAGCAGCTCCATGCTGACGCCTTCACCCTCACTACAGCCTCTGATCCCTCATGCCAGTCCCAGTTTCCCCAGTGCCACCCCGTCCACCAGAACACTCACTGCTGGGCAGATCAGGACACTTTTTCCACAGCTGCAGGCAAATTCCACTGTGGGGTGCAGGAGGCCATGAGCCACAGGTCAAGCTGTCTCTAGAGAGAGTTTCCCCACATTGTTCTATAAGGCATTGGTGGGACGAGATCCTTCCAGTTCACGCTCCTTATGTTCCCCTTGGAGAGTCAGTATCTGTATCTCCTCCAGCACTTCACTGCACTAAGCCCACGAGCGTAGAGCAGTTGAGTTTGGTAGTTTTTTCCTGACCCAATTAGCTCCCTGTACCCACAACCACGCCTCTGCCACCCCGGACCCCAATGGTAGCCCCACACAGTATCATGCTAAGCATGCAGCAAAAAAAAAGCCCAACGAACACAAGGCAGACATTCCAAGCACCACCTGGCACAGCAGCTGTGCGGCTGCCACCGGTCACCACAAGAAATGATGCCAGATTTTGGCTGGCTAGATGTACTCAGCGAGGAAGTGTCCTTACGTCATAGGCTCCAGCTTTGATCTGCTGATAGAGCTTGTGCTGATCTTCATCCCAAAAGGGAGGGTAACCCACTAGCAGTATGTACAGGATCACTCCTGGGAGAGAGAGACAGATATGCTGTGGTTAGGTTCATTGGCTCTGATTACTCCTGTCCTCCATCTGTACACCCACTTCAGAGCTGAGGAGACCCCCCTTCCTGCCCTCTCAACATTCCTTCTCCAGTAGTGTCTGGGCTGAGACTTCAGTACCTTGGAGGTCTGAAAGTGATGGTGAACAAGGAGCAGGAGCAGCCCCAGGAGCCATCTCCCCTCAGCTGCTGGACTTGGTCCTGGCACACCAAGATCAGCTCTGATCCCCAGCTCCTAGGACAGAGCAGGCGCATGCTGTCCTTCTACCTCCCCATACATCACGGCTAGTGAGCCACAGCTCCCAGCTGCTTCCAGAAACCACGCCCAGTGAGGACACTGGAGAGCAAGGTTCTACAGGCGCTTCCAAGACTCTTCCATGCTGGCCTCACACGCTCGCACGGCAGGAAAGCCTAACACCCAGGGGGCCTACAGGAATAGGTCTCTGCCACATATCAGTTCAACATCCCCCAGGTCCTGGGGCTTTAAACTGATCAGTCTTCAGTTATATTTACACTTATGCTTCCTTTTTAGAAAGGAGCACCTACAGAACGAGCATTATAGAGCTAAACAATGGAGTGCTGGCTCGATGAGGCAAGGATGGGTTCTGACTATTTAGCCCTAGCAGAAGGCTCTGATGGCTTGTCTGAGCACAGGACTAGGAGTTAGGAGCAACTGAATTGCAATCCGTGCTCCATCAGCCCCATCTGCAACCTTGGACACGTCACTTAACCCCTCTGTGCCTTCCTTTCCCTGTCTGTGAAAGGGGGATGAGGACCTTTCTAACAGGGGGCTGCGAAGAATGGCTGATGTTTGTAAACAATGCAGTGTCAGTGCAAAGCGTTATCACTGTTATGAGATCTTACCGCATGCCCATATGTCCACTGGTTTTCCATAAGGATCTTTTCTTAACACCTCAGGGGAGAGGTAGCCTGGAGTACCGGCAAACCCTGTCAGGAGAGGAACGACATGGGGCATACATAGTACCCAGCTAGAAAGATCTGCTGACTCCTACCACACGATCTGAAAACTGTAACATTTAACTTTCACAAGCCCATGCTTCCCCTCTTGCCTAGACTTCCCTGAGTTACCTCTGTGGAAGCCAATGGACACAGGAAAGGGAAGGCAAAGGAATGGGTTGACAGTCCACCAGCTCAAAATGCTATAAGCAAGCAAAGAGCGAGCAGTGAATGGGATCATGTCACCCTCTAGAGCACAAGTCCTTGTGCCACATCTAGACCATGGCTACCCGTGTGGTTTGGAGTTAGAAAACAAACCCTGGCTCATGGTTTAGCCAAAGGATGTGAACAGACCCACAGCAATTGCTATCTCTCAGGAATGTTCAGACAGAAAAGATCTGGTTCCTAACTCTGCTATACCTCGAGAGAGACAAGCCCAGACCCAAACACACCTGAGGAGTCCAGGTCAAGGCCTGGACTTTGCAGCTGTCCCCATTTATACAAAAAGGGGAAACAAAATCCGCAGATCCCAACACTCCTGAGGAACGGGAAAAGTTTGTATCAGGGTGTGGACTTTGCAGCTGGGGCAGCTCTGTGACTAACTCCTACTGTACATTTGGGAAGGAAAACAAGAGGGGAGATTCAGCCTTAAGGCTCAAATATGGTCACATTTTCTCTCTTGCTCCCATTTTACCCAGTCCAAAGGCCCCAGAAGCAGGAGTGCTGGGCAAGGAAGGTGTGGCACTGAACTTGTCTAATAGTTAGCTGGAAGACGTCAAGCCCAAATAAACTAGACCCTTCCTAAGGCCTGGCATGTCCAAAGGAAGCTGGAAGGGGCAGCTAGAAAAGGGAAGGCTCAGATCTTCTTACCAAACCAGGCCTGCTGCTCCCCCTGCACTTCTATAGCCAGTCCAAAGTCGGCCAGTTTGACAGCAGCACTCTTACACTTACTTGCCAGTAGCAAGTTCTCAGGCTGGGGAAAGGAGAGAGAAGAGAAAGGAGGGAGGGGTGGGAGAAAGAGAAATCTACATTAATCTCCTTTCCTCGATGTTTCGATCTGTTTAAATTCAGTCAAGGGCCCTGTGTGAAAGCAGCCATTCACCTAAGGCCCAGCAATTGCCAATGGCCTTGTTGATGGAAGGGGAGAGCCTCCTCGGTCTCACACTCATCTCATCTCCCTTTGCTCTCACACGCAATGCAAGCGCTGCTCCCAGCCCAACCCACACACCCAGCGCTGACACCAGGTGGCGCTGACAGCACAGTCCCTCCAGGACGTGATTCCGACCCATCCATGCAGAGAGAGAAAATGATGCCGCAGATACAACAATCTGCAGTGATGTGGCTCCCCACGAACATCACACAGTCCCTAAGGCAGTGGACAAGCAAACACAATAATAAGGGCTGCCAAAGAGAAATCTAATGTGCCAGTCGAGTCCGGCAGTAGCTTTATGGAGAGTGCCTTTCCACATAGCTCACTGCAGTGCTGCTGATGCTGCTAATGAAAGCTCCCTTTCTTTGAGTGGTGAACCCCCACCTACAGGAATTTATTAAATGCTCCTACATCACCCTCTCCTCTGATGAGGGACAAGACCTTTCCTATGCCAAGGATGGGATGCTGCTGCTCTCTCCCTGCTCCTGAAAACACCTTATACCAGAGATGGGACCCCACACCGCTACCTCTGAAGTATTAGGAAAAAGGATGTCACCCAAATAGAACCTCAGGCGTTCGAGGAACTCGGTTGTGTTCTGGAGGCTTCAGCAGGAGAAAGCGGTGAAGGGGTTAAAGTGGCTGCAAAACATTCCTCCAGGCTGAGGTGTTGTCTGCCAGAGCAGCTAGCAAAGGGGACCCTGCCTCTAACACACATGCCCTGAAGACACTGGCTGCAGCAGTTCAGCAGGAAATGGAGTTCCCACTGCACTTGCAGATAGGGACAGGGGTGTGCTGGAAAGGGCAGAAGGGGGAGGAGCCCAGAACCTCTCCTATCTTGGGCAGGATATAACAAACTACACAGACTGGAGTCTACAGCAGGCACCAATGGGAGGGTGGGAAAGGTGGCCTCCAGCAGGACAGAAGGCTGGAAATCCACAAACTGGACTCTCACTTTCCTTGGAGGTCATTTGCACAGCAGGGCATCTGTCTCCCATGGTGACCTAGAACTGCAGTCCTGCTGGATGAGGAAGGTGGTGTGGCTCAGTCACCTGCACAGTGGGGATGGGGTGAGGCATGCACACAAAGCCCACCCCGGCCTGCACTGCGCAGAAGGTGGTTTAGGAACATGTGGTGGTCTGAGGGTGGGATGAGGAGGCAGAGAGGAAGATCAGACATGCGTCGCCCTCTGCCTTGCCTGTGCTGCAAGGAGATGGTGGGGAGTTAGAAATACATGTCCCCTCATCCCTGCCTGAGGGTCAGGCCCCACTTCACACTGGTGCCAGCACGTTTCTCTGCGCCAGCAGGAACAGTGCCACTGCAGTTATCGCAGAGGAAAACTCACCAGTGTAGACAAGCCTGGTGGGAAATCTAGGACCTCCCTCCCACCCACAACTCACACTGCATATGTCTCAACTAGGGACGGTGGTTGTGCTTAGGCTGGGCTCAGCAACTCATGCTAGTTAAATCCCTCCAAAACTCCACCTATTCCCTGCAGACATCTACCTAGAGGGAAACCCCTTCAGCGGGACTCCAGCTCTGTGTGCAGGCGTATCTACCTGCATGTTCTGTAGGCTAGAATCCCACTGGCTGAAGTCAAGCTCAAGCTGTTACCCTTCCCTCACCCTAGAAACGGGTTGAGTTTAGGTGGGGCTTAGCTAACGTGAGTGAGCGGAGCCAGACCTAAGCATGTCCATTTTTCCTAGGCAAGACAAACCTGCTGTGACAGCACCTCCTGAAACCACCCTGCTTCTCCTCTCATTAGTTAATTCATGCCATTGCAACACCCAGGGTTCTACTTTAAAAAGGGCCATGATCAGCTTCACTTATCTCACCCTAGCTCTTCACTACAGCCCTGCAAAATCTGAAACCTATTGCCAAATGTCTCCTCCTCCACATGCACAATTGTGGTCCTCTGGAACACACTGTAGCTGCAGGGACGCTCACAAGCCATGGGCTGGGTTTGCTGATTTGCTATTGCAGGGTTGCTCCTTAGGACTGGTTTGTAACAGAGGAGGGCAAAAAGCAGAATATCAAAAACAAATACGCCTGAGCTCTGCAGCTCTAGACTATCTGTGGTCTGTTATGGTGGGCAGCTGATGAGGGCCGAGCCCCTAGGGGCCATGTGTTAAGCAAAGAGCATGGAGTAATTTATTTTTAAAGAGCAGAATGACAGAGATTGAGGAGCAGCTGCAGGGAACTGGACTGGGCGTGAGGAGGAACAAACTAGCCATCTTGGGAGCCCAGCTGCTGGCCAATTCTACCAGAACTCCCTGGCTTTCACACCCATCCCGTTGGTGGCCTTTGGAGAAGCGAGCAGGAAAGCACTGTGTTCATACTGCAACATAGGGATTGGAGTACAGGCCTACAGCGGAAAACGACTCTGCTATTCTGTGGCACAAAGAACTACCCGGACTTCCGTAGACTCCCTGGCCTTGGGCACTAGCATGCCCAGTGGTCACGTTTTCCATCCTTGAGGATGCTAGCTTCATTGACACCGTATAGCTTCCAGACATGTGTTTATTATGCCCTCTGGAAGGTTTTTTTTAATATCATGCTTCTGCTGAGGCTGCTATCTTCAGACTCCCAGGGTCATGTAACCTTGTCACCCTACAGCAAAGCAGCGCCAGAAAGGGGCGCCACCTTGTAGTAATCTAGCAGAGCAGCTTCTGGCTGTCACATTCCCATGTAAAACAGAGTATGCTGCTGGACAGATAGGCCTCCTGGTGCAAAGCTTTTACTTTTTGGAGTCAAATCAACTCCCAGTACAGCAGCAGGCACTCCATGGGAAAGGAGCTGAAATCTCTCCTGTGAGGGGCCTCTGGGGGCATAAGTGTGCTGTAGCATGGTAGAAGCCTGATTCAGCCAGTGCTTACTGGATTAGCTATTTGATTAAACTTATAGGTAAGGCTACGTTTTAGTCATGGACAGGTCACGTGCAGTAAACAAAAATTCACGGCCTGTGAACTGTCCATGACTTTACTAGATACCCCTAACTAAAACTTGGGCTGGGGCACCACGGGTGCTCGAGGAGGGCGGGCCGGGGGCACCGTGGGTGCTGGCCCAGGACTCCTGCTGGTGCTGCGGGGAAAGGCACGTGGCCAGGGACTCCCACTGGTGCTGGTGGGGGGAGCAGGGGAGGATTAACGGGGCTGGCAGGCTCCCTACCCTGCTCCAACCGGCATGTGCCTGTAGCTCCCTCTGTAGGGGAGGGGCAGCCGGGGGGCTCTGTAAGCTGCTCCTGCCACAAGCGCTGGGCTCTGCAGCTCCCACTGGCCGGGAACCACAGCCAGTGGGAGCTGCTGGGGTGGTGCCTTTGGGTGCGAGCAGCAGACGGAGCCCCCTGGCCACTCCGACTAGGAGCTGCAGGGACATGCTGGGGGGAAGCCAGGGAGCCCTCCCCCCACCCAGGTAAGCATCGCCACACACCCCAACACCCTCAGCCCTGAGCCCCCTCCCACACACCCAAACTGCTGCTACCTGGCCCAGGGGTTGCGAGGCTCGGGCAGCCCCTGAGCCAACACCAGCCGCTGCAGAAGTCATGGAGGTCACAGAAAGTCATGGAATCCGTGACTTCCGTGACAGACACGCAGCCTTACTTATAAGGCTCTACTGACCAGCGACAAGAGAGACCAGCACAAGAGACTCATGTTGCATGACCCCGGCCTAGCCCAATGGCAGGTCTTTGGCAATCCAAATGTGGAATCAATAAATCCATGCGCTATACAAACAGACTCATCCTAGCAGACTAAACACCAGGCCTAGACTAGAGAGCCTCTTTGCGCCCTCCCCAAAGACTGATCCTGGCTCCTCCCCCCACCTGGGGCTGCCTCGCAGAGAGGCTGCCTCTGAGCAACCTATGGGAGCTCAACCGCCCTCTGAGGAAACCCCAAGGAGAACACGGGTGGCTTCAGGAACCTTCATGCCCAGCACAAGCAAGAATTCCGACTAGCCAGCAACACAAGATGCAGACATCAGCCACCGAGGTTCCTCCCCATGACACTGACTGCTGTCCCACTCCTGAGTAGTGGAGTACCTTCAAATCCCTGTGCACGATATCATGCTGGTGAATGTGATTCACGCTCTCCAGTATCTGGTGAATACAGTGGCTTCAAGATGAGCAGAGGGAGAAAAAGAGAGAGACACAGGGTTACACACAGTCTCAGCCTCTAACCTCCACTTCCCCATCCTTCCCAGCCATGGCAGGGAGAGTTCAGGGACTCTGGGCCAGGCCCAGCAGTTACCTGCAACCAAAGGGCTCCTCCAGCCCCATCATGCCCACCAGCTGTTGCTGCCGCCGCCAAACTACCACAGCTGGAATTTTGTTGCTTAGCAACAGGGTTTCAAAGACAGCTCAACAGTGGGTTTAGATAGCAGGATCTCACTGCCCCCTCCTACCATCCCACTGACCCCCCCCTTCCCTGTCCACCTCCTTCCCCGCTCCTGGCGTTAGGCACTGTGTTTGTTTCATCAGCTGAGGACATACACCCGCACGTGTGTAAGCAGTAGCTCAGGGTTGGGCTAACAAGGCCAAGCCACAGAAACACTCAGCTAGGCCTGGCCTAAGCTTTCATGAAACAGCAGCCTACTCCATCGAGCTCCAGACGAAGAATCTGGGTGTCTGCCAATTGACACGGCTTTCAGAGCAGCATTTCAAGCACTTTACATACACAATGTGCACGCCCACTCCCCCCCCGCCCCATGCACGCACCCGCTAGCCGGGCGCCTTTTAAGTACAGATCCCACTTAGGGAGTTAGAAGCTGAAAAACACTCGCTCCCTGCTGAGTGCACCCTGCCGCACTCCCCCAGCCTGCAGAATACCAGTGCCATTCTCGACACTGACACCACAGGGAGAGGAGCAAGACGTTATTTACACTTGGCTTGTCAGAGTCAATGTTACACCCACAGAGTGTGTGCACCAGACACGCGCACACAGCTGAGATTGCTGGAGGAGGCTACTCAGCCAGATAGCGGTTCCCAAGCTCTCGGGCTGGAGCAGATGCAGCAGCATTTACATAGGTGTCATCCTGAGAGAGGAAGCCTCTTTGATGTGGAAAGGAGCACAGATTTAAACAGCTCCTGTGGCCAGGCAGTCAGAGCCTGTCTGTGGGAAGTCGGGGTGGTCGGCCTCCCTTGGCAATTCACTCTGGAGAAGCCAGAGCAGGCCGCCCCATTGGGAATAAGCAGATGTTTTTCCAAGTCTCAGAGGCCCAGGCTTTCTTTATGGATCTTACAGATTGGAAATGGGTGAAATGGTGGGGGGGGGGAGGAGGTAGTTGCTGCACTGTATATCGTTACCCCACCAGCCCCTCCCACTGGAATTGGCAGCACAAACCACTGGGTCAGATTCTGTGAATATCTCCCTGCTCCCAAAACAAAAAAAAAAAATGTATAATTAGAACAGAGCCAAGCCTGAGTGAGAGACTTTCTGGCCAAAAATGGCAAAAGTGCGAGGTGTCCCAGGCGAGCCAAGCGAGGCGGATTGGCACGAACCTTGCTCTCCCAGCCTGCTCTGGAATTCAGCTCAGCTTGGCGTGCGGCTAGAAAGGGAGGGCTTTGTACTTGTTCAGCAAACGCTGGGCTCTGTGGGCATGGTTCAATCAGCCCAGCTTGAATTGGAGAGGACAAGAGGGCGTTGCATAGGCACGGACAAGAAGCAGTGCCACATTCTCTCCTCTTCCCTTAACCTAACCAGGGTCCCCCTCCTCTGCCACTAGTGTCCCTCACTACTGCTCCTCATTCCCATCCTCCTCCAGGGCAGGCGGGGACAACCCAATCACCTCCCGCCCCCACTGGACTAAATGGATGAGCCAGGGAACATCACTTGGTCTGGGACAAACACACATGCAACAGCCCCAGAGCTGTTAAACACATCCCAAGGGCTCCTGGATCCTAACATCACCCGCTCCCTCAGAGAGCGCCTGCCCTCCTGGACTTCCTTCACCTTCAGCACACAGCTGCCTCTTGCAGCACATCCTGCAGGGGAGAGTCATGTGTAATGCTGCACTTCCAGAGCCAGGGAGCAGGTGGAGGCTCTAACTGAGCCACAGCAGGGGCAAATGAGCACCCAAACATTGCCCTGGAAATGCCTGCAAGGGCCATGCTCTGTTCTTTTACATATGCCACAGAGCAGCTCCAGGAGTGCACATCACACCAGAACTGCCACACCCCGTCACCCCAATCTAGGCACCCCAACGGAGCTCGCTCCTTCTCTGCTGCACACCTCTATTCCGGTCTCCTGCCAGGCTCTACTCAGCTCCCCCTCCAGCCAAGGGCAGGCAGGGATAGCTTGTAGGGGCAGGACAGGGTTCCATGAAACTTCACTGTAGGCCTCTGCTCCCCCGTTCCTGCCTCCCCCAAACCAGAGCTGAAAAGATCCCGTTTCAAATGCCCCCATTTCTGGAGGCAGACTAGGTATCCAGAGCCCACATCTGGACTGATGAGAAATGGGATACTGTCAGCCAACAATTAAGGGGTGGCCAGAGATGTCAGGAGTGAGCCCAGTTCAGACTCGTTTAGGGAAGCCCAACTCTTTAGGGGTGAAGGTGGGGGACACACAGAGGAGGGACAGGACTTAAGTCCGTTTAAAGTTGAGAACCAAAAGCTTCCCTTCTCATACTGTGCCTTGTGCTTCTAAGCTCCTGTCAGCAGAGGCTGTGAATGCTTTACACACACTGGGACAAGAAGCACACCCATTTTACACATGGGGAAATTGAGGCACAGGTCAGTTGCACAGAACTGCCTAAGGCGAGCATGAGTTCCTGGTAGAGCTGGGATAAGAAGCCAATAGTCCAGGTTTCCAGTCCTCTAATGCGACTGAAAACAATTCTTCCTCTTGTGCTTTACCCTTCCAAACACACACTGCTGCTCCCACTCCAGCAGCCAGGTCAGACAGACGCCAGCAGCAGGCCCTCCAGAGACAAGCAACGTCTCCAAGGGAGGAGGGCCTAACGCCACACTGAGTCAGCTACACTGAGTCTGTCACAGCTACAGTTGAAAGGCTGCATTAGTATGGGATGCGGAGGAGGGGTTTCCCACATGGGGAGCATTTATTTTACAACACAGCCATGTGCAGACACGCCATACTGTCTGACATGATTGGCACATAACAGGGAGAGTCTGAGCACAGATTCTTACCTAGCATCAGCTTCACTGTAGTACTCTCTGGCGACAATATCTTCAAAGAGCTCTCCACCAGTGACCCTGGAGGAGACAGACCGAGGGAAGTTAGGAGACTCGTGCACAGCGAGGAGGCACAAGGGGTACACACTCGCTCCTGGGGTACCAGGCTGTCCTCTGCCAGCCTGTCTGAATCTTTGCCCGGGATTATCCCGAGGGAGGGCAAGCCAGGGCCAGAAACCTCAGAGCACCAGGTCCTCACTCAGGTCAGGGAGGGCATCGAGAGCATCAAGGGATCATTACCCAAACAGTGGGGCATCTTTGCACTCACATCCACAGTGCTCTGGGTTCCACTTCCCTGGCAAACAAGCATGGTGGGCACCAGCATCTTGAACCACATAACTGTAGCCAGTACAGATGCCATAAACACACCGGGTGGCCTCCCTCCCCTCCACCTCTCGTATCTGTGACATGGAAAGGACACCTGTCGCCCTTGGAACCATCGCATCATTCCCTAAAATTAGATAGCAGACACAGGTCAGAAACTGACCTACTACATACCTCTCACCCCTAAATTTGCTGCCAGGCAGTTCCTACATCCATTCCCCCACACACCCCGGACACCCCCCCCCATTCCCCCAGACCTCTCTGTCCTACTTTCTGACCTCTCTCATACAAGGCACCTGCATCATCTATTCCCCTCTCACCTTTCCACACCCACATCTTGTACCCCTGTCCACCTCCCTTACATGCAGAGTTCACGCTGCAGAAGAAGCTGGGAAGGCTCAACACTACACACAGAATCATGCAAGCTTGCACTGTACACCAGCCAACATTTCCAAAGGTGTCAGGTCCAATGAGTCTTTGGCTCTAGGACACACTGATCTTCAGCTCCTTGACCCAGCATGAAACCACCTGTGATTTTGTTGCACAGTGACTATTATCCCTGGAGAGGAGACCAAAACCTTATTTTAGGAGGAGGTTCTTTGTCAGTGGATTATAGCCTTGTTGTCGGGAACTGGGATACAGGTCCTGGTGGGGAAAGGAGGCGGCAGGAAATAGAGGTTCAAGGATCTTTCATTCTGCTCTTAAATCAGCAGCCCACAGCTTTGTCTCAGCCACGAAGCACCAGAGCTAAAGGGAGGCACTTACAGATCAAAGACGAGGTAGTGGAAAGCTTCTTCTGAAATACTGTCATGGAGCCGCACTGTAAAAACACAAGCAAGAAACAAGGGACATTTAACATTTTCCAGATCTGATCCACCCCCCTTGGAAATCCATGACCACATTTCTCCAGTCCCATCCGGCAACCTATTGCTCCCTTCATCCCCTTCACCCTCACTCTGGAATCTAGAACCCTCCCTCCCACCATCCCTTATCCCAAATAATTTATGAGCATCCTTCACTTCCTGCCCCTCTAGCACCGGAACCAATACACTGGTGCTATTGAGGAGCGCATAAAGCAAAGAGTTCAGGGGACACACCATGGTCCTCAAGATGAGGGATCTCGGTTTTCAAATCTTATGTTTCAGGAATCCAGTTCAGCCAGTTGCTCTCCCTGAAAAATCTGTTCAAACTGTCTGCTAAAGCTGAAATATGCAGTAACCACAATACAAGTCTGCTTTTAAAAGTATCTGTCCTATCAACTAGCCTCAAGAGTGCTTTGCTGAGTCAAAAAGAGTTAACAAAAGAATTACAGTGGGGGAGAGCAATTTCCAGGGGGAGATTTCCACGTGTAATTGGACATGAGAAGGCAAGTTGACGAGAACAGGACAGTTGGCAAGAGCAGCAGAGGAGAAGGCTCTCACTCCACAAGCAGTGAGATCAATGGGAGCAAGTCAAGGGCAGGATCTTACAAACAGCAAAGCACAGCCAGGATTATGGCACGAGAAGGAAAGCTCCGTTCGTGACGCTGTGAGACAAAGGTGGGGCCCCAGAGATGCTGCATGTGTGGTAGGGCAGGCACCAGCAGTCTCCATGCACGGGGGTCAGGAGCGGTCACCGACAGGTGCTGCAGTAGTCCAAGCAAGGAGAGAGGTGGAGGGGTGAAAATTCCAGCAGAGCTGGAGTGGAGCCAGTGGCATACAAGGGCAGTGCTGCAGAAGTGGCAACGAACGGGTGTTCAGACCCAGGAGAGTAGGAAGGACAAGGAAATTCAGGATCAAGGATGATGCTAAGCATGTAGACAGTGAAGAGATCTGGGAAGTGAGTCATGGACACACATAAAGGAGCTAGGTTTGTGGTTCACAATGCGTTTCCTGGCCAAGGGCAGCACTTCTGCCTTTGATATGTTTGGATGAAGGAAGTGGAGCATCAGTTGGCCAAGACAGGCAGAGAACATGGACCAGAACATCTCAAAGACACGGACGGTGCGGTGTACATGCCTACGGTTAAAGGGAAGGCAAAGATGGCAGGTGACAAAGGCAGACAGTAGGAAAGAAGGGAGGGCCGAGAATGGAGCTTTGGGAGCACAAGGCAGCATGGGCTGTGGAAAAGCCACCTTCAAAGACAGCCAAAGAGCAGTGTGATAAGTAAGAGTAAAGTCATCACAGGAGGGAACCAGAGATGCCTGCACAGCTAGGAAGATGGAATGGTCCCCAGCATTAAAGGCTGCACAGAAGAAAAGAAGAATGAGCCTTCCCACCAATCCAGGTTGTTAGCCACATAGAGAAGAGCCGTTTCCCTGCTACGGCCCCTGGGGATCTCGGATGGAAATCAGCCTGGAGTCTGGTCACTAAAAGATTACTTAGGAGAGGAGAACCCCTTTCCTAAGCAGTTTGCTGAGGCTGCAAGCTCCGGGAGAGGGTGGCAGCTGGAGCCTCAGGGCCAAGATAGGTCTGTAAAGAGGAGACTGGACACAGGCAGGCTGACCAACAATGGCAGTAACGTAACAAGCAACGGTCAGGAGACAGAAGAGGGAAGGCTCCGGAAAGAGCAGAAAAGGAAAGAGACCATGAGGAGGAATGGGGAATATACTGAAAACTCTCCACCCCTTCAATCCCAGCCCAGTACCGCCCCCCGGCCCATGAGTGCCACCGGTGTGTAATGAGTCTGCTTCTCCCTAGCAATGCAACAGCAGAAGCGCTCTTTCAAGGTCCGTCTCCACTGCAAAAAAACAAAGTGTGTTCTTAGCTCAGGTTAGCTAACTCCAGTTAGGACACGAGTGAAGACAAAGAAACTCTACTTTTAGCTCAGGTTCACAGTTTGAGTGGACACCTGCAGAAGACCTGGGGTGAACGTGAGCTGCTAACCGGAGTTAAAAGCAGAGCCTTTGCTGTTGCTTTAGCTGGAGTTAGCTACTGCAGTGAGCTAATCCGAAGGAAGAGAACCAGCCAGCCAGACACAGCCTGTCTCACTCTGTCCTGGGCATTGCCCACCAAACTGACTCGTACTCTGCAGTCTCGCCATCAGAGCCAGGCTCCTGTTTTGATATTGCTATTAACCTCCACCCTGCCTGATTACTGCTTTGACGTAGAGATTAAATGATTTAGTTTCAACGCAACTCCAATTACCAGAGCCTATCAGCTTAACGACATTATCTCCCCTTCCCGCCACCACTCAGCACGTAACAGGCAAATGTCTCCCCTGCCCTCCAGATAGAGCATGGGGGGTGTTGGTTAGTTAGTTGGTTAAACGGGTCTCTGAATCCCCTCTGCTTAGTTCACCATGACTTTCCATGCATCTTGCAATCTCCAGTTGACCAACTCCCCCTCCTTCTAGCCAGCATATAGCACTCTCCTCCATATCCATGGCCTGCTAGAGAGCAGATGTTGCATACCAGGAGATGGGGTCCTGGCTCTGACCAGTTCCAAACGTGTCCAAGAGAGACCAAAGCAGAGCAGTTTCTCAGCTTCAGACTTCCCTGGGCAAGGGGCAGATACAAAAAAGTTGCAGCAAGAGTGGAGGTTTTTCTTGTTCCTAACAAGGTCCCTGGGGTGTCCTGCAGAGGCTGCCAGCCCCATCACCCTTGCCTAGTGCTCTCCTCCCCCACACACTGGGGAGGCCTGACATACCATCTTGGGACAGCTGCGCAGAAACGCCAGGACCTTTCCCTAATTCCTGACGTGGGGTGTGACAGCATCTCAGAGCAGATGGAGGGGGAAATTCACGTATAGCTGCTGGGGGCAGGCAGAGCCAAGAAAAAATTCCAGACATGATATCATAGACGAGAGATGGAAAAGATGGATTGGTGCATCCAGGCCATCCCCCTGCAATGCAGGATTGTTCCCTACACAGCATTCAATGGTGCTTTAATTATTCAAGCAATGAAGCTTCCATCGCTCCCTTTGAGACAACCGCAAACCTGCAGCTCTTGGCCTCCTACATCGAGCGCAGCAAGCTATCCAAGTGCATGCTCTACAAACAGAGCTTTGAGTCGCATTAATAAGGAACCAGGGCACCCAGGAAATACCGGACTCCTACAGACTAGTGAATGCCTAGCACTTCCCTGAGGAGTCCATTCTCGCTCCTCACATCATGCTAACAGAGAGGGACAATTACTTTTATTGGCAGATACAGTAGCCACAAAGAGATAATTCAAACCAGGTTCTCTTCCCAACAGGGCTGTTTTAGCCAAAGGCTCTTTTCAAAACAAGGGAGGGGAGGTGGATGGGGGAAGCATGATTGCCTGCATCTTGCAGCTGTAGAGAAACACCACCCTGCCAAGGCTGCATGCTCACAGACTGCCCCATGATTGCATCTCAGGGTATGTCTACACTGGAGCTGTAATTTCCAGCTCAGGCAGACATAACTGTGTAGCTTGGATCAAGCCAGCATGCTAAAAACAAATGCAGACGTGGCAGTGTCAGCAGTGAGGCAGGGTAGCCACACGCCTAAGTACATACCTAGGCTTTCAGATGGGATAGTACTCAGGGCAGCTGGTCCATCCCACTGCTTGCACCATCACGGCTACACTTTGATTTTCCATATGCTCACTCAATCAGAGTTAGCGCGTGCCTGTCTACTTGAGCTGGAAATCACACCTCCAGCTCCAGGCTAGACACGCTGCAGCGAGAAAGTCAGAGGTACTGCTCCAGAGACACCTGAGCGGCAGTGACAAGCGGAGGTGAAGCAAGTGAATGAGCCTACCACTGAACCAACTGGAGTGGGGTCAAAAAGAAAACAGGAACGAGGCACTGGGGCATTAACCTGGCTACATAACACAGTAAAGGATCTCGCTCACTGGTTCCTAAATACAGTTAGAAGTTTTATCTACAATATAAATTGTACCAGCATTGTAACCAGGTCCCTGGACCGAGTTTGTAGAGTGCACAAGTCCAAGGGTACCTTCAGCAATCTAAATACCATAGGTTAGTGATGCACATATAACCCACAATCAAATGGGCAGGTAACAAATGCCTGGCTACTCTGTTGTCTGCAGCCATACCACCCGGTGCTGCGATCAGTCAGACCCAGCAACCTAGGCAGGGCCTGGACAGGTCACTACATGGAGGAGAGCCCTCCAAGGGACATCTAGATGCTCAGATAATTACATCCTGCCACCTGAAAGTACCTCTGCAGTATACACTATTCTTCACTTCTGGTCCTGTCTTACAGTGTAACCTTGTGCTATGCTGTTAAACTGCTGCTAGGCACCACTATAGTTAAGGCTGAGACTAGCTTACCGGTTTTTCAAAGTGCTCTAAAATCATCTACATGCTTACTCTGCCTTCAATTGCTCTGTCTCATGGCAATTTGGGGTCATTTCAGCAAACAGTTCCTGCAATACAACCTCCCCTAAAAAAAAAAAAAAAAAAAAACCACACACACCCAGGACAACCTGATGTTTCTCCCATTTTTAACACATTCCTGGAGCTCAAACTATGGCTTTGTTCCCCCCAAACTGATATCATCTGCTCAGAATTGAGCTCAGATAGCATCTGGTGCCCATTGCTCCTTCAGGGAAGCAATATTTTTAAAAAGTTGTTCAGGGAAAAGATTCTTGGAGAGAGAAGGTGAACGACGAGTACACAGCATTATTAGGGTAATGTGATCATGCCACAGGCTCCTCACCCCTTTCCTGAACACTGGGAGCAAGTACGATCAAAGGAAAGCAAGTAGCTGCCATCTCAAATGTTTGCACGATCAGAGGGGTGGCCAAGCATACAGACACACACCTACTGTTGGGAGTCCTATTTTAAGGGCTGCTGTAAGGTCGACACTGACTAAGACAGGGTCAGGACACTGCTCACTCGAGACCACAATTCA